TTAAGTACACCGTGTTTAAAACACAATTATAATTCACACTAAAAGACCACAGACCACAGTTACAAATAGATATGCACTTACAATCGCATCATCATTTTTCGCTTTAACTCCCAGCAGTGGCTCACAAACATCTTTATCGTAGTCGTAAACAGCGACACAGGTTTGAAAAAGTAGTTGATTTTGCAAGACGGCCCCTTATTTATTTTTATTTGAAAATGAAGAAAAACTCGTTACATGCCAGCAACTTTAAGAGGGTATAAATTAAATATCTTACCAGCAATTGTTGTGGAAATATATATTAGAAATACAGCCGGTTCAATTATAGTTCTCTTCTCGGATATCGTAGAAACTCTGTCATCATTTGAATATTCTGAAGGTGAGAGTGGTTTTGCACTGCCCTTCTCGGAATGGCCGACAGTCCCGTTTTGTGAAGGTAATGGTGCTTTCTCCTCTGTTCCAACCATTTTCGATTTTAATTGTTTTCACTGAGTAGTTGACTTTGAGTTTTTAGAATTTCTAATTACGAGTATTATTATATATTTTTTGGATTGTGGCGGACAAACACTTTTGTGCTAACGGTAAATTATTTTTCACAAATCTGTTCAGTTTCGCATCCTCAGTGCTACTAAATCGCTTTTAACGTCTTCTCTGTTAATACATATATGTATGTATGTACATAGATATGTACGCCTGCCGTAGACTTTTAAGCACTTCTCTGTTCAAACATAGTTCAGATGAGATAAGGATATTGCAGTACTACTTAACTTTCAATCACTGCATTCTCCTACGAACGTACTACACAAACAAATCAAGGGGTTGGTTGACTCACTTGCAACAGGTACTTTTTAGAGCTTTGCAGTTCTGTAGCATTCGATTGCCAAATAATCTCATTTACAAATACGTATTTTAAATATGTAGAACTTTTTCAATTGGATACATTTGTATGCATGTAAGTATTTGTGCGCGTGTGTATGAGTTGGATATTTCCGTTAATAATCGTATGCCGGCCGCCTCTGTGTGTCAGTTGTTGTTTTAGAAGTATGTATTTATTTGAGAGAAGTCAGTTACATATTTTTTATCTGTGGGACGAACGACATATCGCCACAAATGCATTTTAGCACACAAATTAAATGTTGAACGAATAATATATTTGTATAAAAATTGCATTTCTCTGTGGACTGTTAAAATATTTAAATTAAACCAATCGAACTACTATTTTGCACTTCACCATATCTTACCAATTTAAAAGTGCCCCCAGCATTTTCCTGTTTTTGTACGAATCGAAAATCATGAATTTTTTCCATCATTTTCTATACGAAAATTCCAAATTTTCGATTCGTAAACAAGAATACGCCTCAATGTATTTAGAATTCAACAAAAAAGAAGATTTTTGAAGTGAAACTTCTTTAGCGGCGGTTGGTTGGTTGGGAGTGAATTGGCAAATTCAACGGAAATTTCACACGGAAATGATGCGACGGAAATGGTGCAACGGAAATGTTGGGGCTGAAAGAAGCGCTTCTTATGATTATGTATATGGTATTAATTTAACAAAAATTTAATAATAAAAGGTTAAAGAATAACACTTAGACCAATACAAGAATGAAAGTAAAGGTGTCTACGTACATAGATAAAGAAAAGGATAAAGGCAAAGGTAAAAATAAAAACAAAAACAAAGATGCGCAAAGATAAAGGCAAAAATGAAGACCAAGGTAAATTAAATTACTTTACTTATATATATGTAAGGGCAAAGGTGAAGGGGAATATGTCGATGAAGAACATGATAACCAGTAAAGTAAGTAAAGACAAAGAGGAGGAAGAGGATACTGATAGAAGTAAAGATGAAGATAGGGTAAGAAAGATTAAAATAAAGGTAATTAAAAAGGAAAGGATATAGAGAGAGACACAGACACTCAATCTGTGAACTATTTTGGGATTTTAGAGATTTTCGGGATTCTCTGGACTTAACGATAAAATAATCGATATTTTTATCGGTTTTGTTATCGATACTTTTACCGATTTTTTTATCGAAATTTTTATCGATATTGTTATCAATTTTGCTACCGATATTTTCCGAACTTATCGATATAATAATAGATATGTTTATCGATTTTGTTATCGATATTTTTATCGATTTTGTAATGGATATTTTCAAATATTTTGTTATCGATATTTATCGATTTTGTTATCGCTATTTATCGATTTTTTATCTATATTTATCGATTTTAATATCGATTTTGTTATGGATATTTATATCGATTTTGCTATCGATATTTTTATCGATATTTTTAACCATTTTTTTTATCGAAATTTTTATGGATATTGTTATCAATTTCGCTATCGATATTTTCGGAACTTATTGATATAATAATAGATATGTTTATCGATTTTGTTATCGATATTTTCAACTATTTTGTTATCGATATTTATTGATTTTCTTATCGTTATTTATCGTTTTTCTATCGAATATGTTATAAATGCGATTTTTTAGCATAGCTCGACCCCTTCGCCACCTATTGGAAAAATTAAAACTATGTGCACTCCTCCTACAAAACACTTTTCCTGCAAAGCAACAACCATTCGAACCGGTTAAGAAACATAGGAGAACATTGTTCACAATTGATTCATGCTTGCCCAATCCACAAGAAAGGTGACCCCGCCATTCGCGCCAACTACCG